ATTGCTAAGAAACTTTGGTATTACTCTGTTATCATACAAGTGTAACCTCTTAATTGATTTATAACTTGCTATATAGAATTGTGGTGTTACTATGGAATTTACTCTGTGATCAATTGGTGTGGTGTTATTGTGATATTCGTTCTGTTAATTGAATTGCTCTACTTCAATGGAATTCTCCCTGCCAACTTCCCCCTCTCCTCCCTATAAAAACTTTGTGTGAATGTTCATTAAATGAGACTTGATCAGAAAGCCTGTCTTGTCTCCATTCTTCGCATCTCTTGTCCCTTTCCGTCCCCCTTTCCTCCCTCCAGAAACCCACGCTGACTGTCTTGCGGGTCGGGACATCAGATGTTATATGAACACATATTAGTCTTTAGGTTAATGAAATCTGGGGGCTCTTTGAGCATTTCAAAAGGATTTTACCTGATAGTTACCCATATATTGAGTCAAATGAGTGGGGACAATATAAATGTGACTAATGATACCCCAAGATAATTTGGCTCTGGTCCTGTCACATTGTGTTCCCAAAAGACATAGAATTTCTACTGAGTCCATCAACCTTGTAGAATCTTTAGCACAAGTGCAACTTTTCTGGGAAATTCAGTTAATGATAGCAGTAAAACCAAGGTCATAGGTTGTATGAAGATCATATTGGGTATCAGCTAGTGTCTGACAAATCAGATTTCAGCCAGTTGGCTACTGTTCAGGAGGAAAGTAATATCCCATTGCAATGCACATGGCTGGCATTGCTACAACAAGAATAGTTTAAGAAAAGAGATGACATATATTTAATGCAAATTTCATGACACTGGAACATTCAGAAATTAAGACCCAAAAAGAAATCCCCCTAAAATAGTGGATTTTCATGGACCTCATGCAAAGACATGACAGGGGACCAAAAGATAAAATGGTAGTGGGTTGAGAGAAATTAATTAAGTTTGTTTGCTGAGACTCTACTTGTTTACTTGTGTGATGTTTCTTCACCTTCAGAGGTACCTTCCTGCTTCCGCAGTTGTCTCTGTTGCCTGCATCTTCAGATATCCTTCAGGCCAAGGTACCATAGTTTGAGGTTTCATGTTCTGAGATCTAACAGCACTCCTAGATTTAAATATAAGCTTAAAATGATATTCCTTTACTATGGTTTAAAATGACAAATGAATAATACCAAAAGGTATTAACTTTTAACATTATCACTTCAACAAGAACAGTTGTTACTCTGACCAATATATAAATATGTTTGAAAGTACACATGTTGAAACATAGTTAAATATAATTTTAACAATTTGGAAAAAAACATATTATTTAGCATTTTGTCTTCCTAAGAAGCATATTTTTCTTTCTATTTCTTTTCTGCATCATTGTTAATATCTAAAACCATTTTCCACCTACAGGATAATTAATAATCTAAATTATTATCTGTTTTACCACTGTAGAACATGAAAAATAAAACTATTTTTCCTATGCTCGTTGTAGATTCACTGACTGGAATCTACCATAGACAGTAAAAAGATAAATTACCAAAGGAAAAATACAGTCACTTTTATTAACATGTGCATCTCATCTGCACATTGTAGGGCTCAGAGTAACCAACTCAAAAAGGTGAAAATTTCAAAAATTGAAGCATCTTAACAAAATAGTTGTTATATTTTTATAAAAGTGCCAGAACAAAGAAAAAAGAATCAAACTTCTGAGGAATGGGCAACTTAATCTAGAGAAAGTTAGATCTGCAATATTTTGTCATTTGAATTCCTCAGTACTCTCTGGGATGATAGTTTAGAGTCATTTAGATGATAATCACTCACTTAGCCTCTGGAAAAGAAGAAACCACAGTGAGTTTCCTTTATGTCTGTGTTTCCCCCCATTTCCTAAAAATCAAACACTAGAATATGCCAGAGTAACATGTGTTGCGGTGGCATATTGATTCCCTTCATCACATAGTCAAGTTAGAAAACTCATGTCAACTCCCTGACCTGTGAGATGGCTCAGTTGGTAAAGTGCAACAAGCATAAGGACCTAAATTTAACCCCCAGGACCCTTGTAAATGCCAGGCATGGCAGCCTACATCTATAATCCCACTGTATGGACAGGCAGATCATGATGGATGATTACCCATCCAGTCAGGCCAAAACAGGAGTTTCAGTGTCACTAAGAGACCTTGTTTCAAAAAACATAAGGTGGAGTAGTGATAGAGGAAGCCACCCAATACCGAGCTCTGGCCTACATGAATGGTTATATTGGTGACTATACCCACATATATGTGTACACATGAACAGTAGACACACACACACACAATTGATAAATAAATGAATAAATAATTTGGCATATACTCATTCAGATTTATGGGAGAATGTTTTTTTTTAAAGGGGAATGCCACAGCATTCCCCAGCATATAGACCCCAGTCAGCGACTTCTTGAAACATGTGGAATGCATAATTTCAATCGCACTGCACGTGACTGATTGGAATTTGCATGCTGGTAATGTGCTTTGATGCCTCTTCTGCCCAATGGAGCTGAAAAGTGCTGACTAGACCACAGAATCCCCCTGTATTCTAGATAATAGGATCCACTGTGTTGACGTATTTATCTTGCAAATCTATTTTGAATTCTAAATGCTTTTTGGAAATTGGATAAATGCAAGAATTTGAGATTTAATGAGAGAACTTGTTATTGGTGAATTCAAAAGGATAATGGTGAGGACAGGACAGTCTTATTCCCTGGGATATTCTTAGAGCAAAGGCACCAAAATCTGTATTATCTTTCTTCAAACACCTGCACTTCAAATGGTGGCTCTAGTCACAAGGAGATTTATTAAGAATAGAATTCCAAGTGACCTGCTAATATGTGAGATCTGTCCTCAAAATTAGTGTGTAAAACTAATCTAACATTTTTGTTTTATTTTTATTTTATTTTATTTGTATGAGTGTTTTGCCTACATATGTGAGAGCACCCATGTCATACAATGCCTGTGGAAGACAGAAGGCATTAAATTCCCTGAAACTCAATTAAGGAAGGTTTTTAAACTTCATGTGGGTACTAAGAACTGAATCCCAGTTCTCCAAAAGAGCAACTATTGCTTTTACCTGCTGAGTCATCACTCCAAACCCATAAAGTAGTATTTTTAAAGAAATGCTGTCAAATGAACTTTTGCTTTTCATGTGTTCTCATTCGCAAGTGAGGAAGACATGTCTCTGATGCAAGAAGCCATTGGCTTAGAGTCATTGTTCTGTATGATTTTATTATTACTGTTATAATCATCATCATCACTATCATTATTTGGAGAGAAAAATGTATCATGTCATTAAATAGAGCAGGTCAGTGAAAATAAGTCATTTTGAAACTAGATTTTTTCTTAGAGTTGATTACTTATTTCTCTTGAACACATAATGTATGTTAGAAAATCAGTTTAAAACCTATCAAATTTGATTTTGATAAAATTTTTAAGTTAAGCAAATTTCTGAACAATAGCAACAACAAAAAAAAACCTACATTTTTTCACTGAAATGCCATATGGATGGCGGTTTAAAACATAGTGAGTGAAACAGTCTTTTGTGGGCTGGCAATGGAATGTGATGGAGATAGTGACTGGATTGAACCTTGGATCTGCAACAGAACTATCAGTGGAAACTTTGCAGAATCCCAGAAATTCTTTGCATTTTAATTTCCTACATTTGTTGGTTGTATTAATACATGCTCCATGCCTCAAAGGGCAGAGTTCCATGAATCACTTTTTTTCAATTTTCTAGGACCGCACAATTGAACGAAAGGTCTTGCTGGGAAATGTTTGTTTCCTACTGAAAGCCATCACAATGATTACACACAATGACACTCTAACCCAAGACTTTCTCCTGCTAGGTTTTCCTGGGACTCAGGCTCTTCAGCTTTCTCTTTTCATGCTTTTCCTGGTGATGTACATTCTCACCATTGGTGGTAATGTGGCAATCTTGTTATTGGTGAGTACCTCTCACCAGTTACACACCCCGATGTACTTCTTTCTGAGCAACCTCTCATTCTTAGAGATCTGGTATACCACAGCTGCAGTCCCCAAAGCCCTGGCCATCCTAGTGGGAAGGAACCAGACAATTTCATTTTCAGTGTGTCTTTTGCAGATGTACCTGGTTTTCTCATTAGGCTGCACAGAATATTTCCTCTTGACAGCCATGGCTTATGACCGCTACCTTGCCATCTGCTCTCCTCTACACTACCAGGCAATCATGAACAGTCTTCTCTCAGCACAGTTGGCTGTGGGGTCCTGGATCTGTGGCTTCTTGGCCATTGCTGTGCCAGCCAGCCTCATCAGCACCCTGTCCTTCTGTGGCCCCCATGCCATCAACCATTTCTTCTGTGACATTGCACCCTGGATTGCCCTGGCCTGCACCAGCACACAGGCAGTGGAAATTGTAGCTTTTGTGATTGCTTTTGTAGTTATCCTGAGTTCCTGCCTTATTATCCTGATCTCTTATATCTACATCATCAGCACCATCCTGAGGATCCCCTCTTCTAGTGGTCGAAGCAAAGCCTTCTCCACTTGCTCTTCCCATCTCAATGTGGTGCTTATCTGGTACGGGTCCACAATTTTCCTCCATGTTCGCACCTCCATCAGAGATGCTTTGGATTTGTCTAAAGCTGTCCATGTTCTCAACACAGTGGTGACTCCAGTTCTAAATCCATTTGTCTATACACTCCATAACAAGGAAGTCAGAGAGACCCTGTTTAAGAAATGGAGGAAAGTATAAACCGCCTGCAGTGCCATGGACATATTGATTGTAAGAGGTCTCCATCACTAATACAGAGATTGCAATGATAATGTGAATATCCTGAGTGCCATGGATATGGTATAAATGGCCTTCCTCGCTGATACATGGATTACTATTTTTGTAAAATTTTGTTATCACTTAAATGAAATTTCCATAGACTGGTGTTGGAGAAATAAGGTGTATGAGAAGTTGGACAAGTTTAAATAAATAAAAGCATACTTAAAATCAGAGGGAAGAGTCATTCCAAGACAGAATTTTCCCATGAATGAAATATAGTAATATAAAAACATGAAATGAGAAACTGATACATAAACGTGTCACATTTTCTCCTAGGGACAGTGAACAAAGCAATCCAAAATATTTTTGATAAAATGTAAGCAGGAATATACACAAGCTTGAATATAGCAACAGAAAGTCCCTTTATAATTTTATATAAGCCTTATAATAGAAAAATCATAGATTATGATTACTAACCAGTCAATATGCTTAGAATTGCCAATACTTTAAAAACGAAAAACAACTATATTGTTCTTGGGATCTAAAGTTCAATGATCTGGTGCTACCAAACAAAACAGGAGCCAGAAGTTGGTGAGAAGAAATGGATTTATATTTTGTCAAAAATGTGAAACAGAAAGTGTCTCAGCTTCCCTCCACTTTGCCTATAGCATTCTTACAATTTATAGAAAACTTGAAAACAAAGCCAGATAAAATACATATGCAAAGTCAACTGTGATGTAAGTTATCAGTACACTGAGGTAAGTCTTTTTTCCTGGAAAACAGCTCCTCCACTGGTGATATAAAGGCCTATCAGCCCCAACAGGTAGTTTTCTGGAAAGATTCTGAGTTTTTGAGTCTCTCACATAATTCCTTTTTTTTTTTTTTTTTTTTTTTTTTTTAACAATTCTTCATGACCGAAGGGTTTACTGTACTGTCATTTACTGATGTGTTTGTATATAGATTCCATTAAGGGTTCCTGAAATGCATAAGCAAAAATTAAAGAGTAACATGCCTATATCTGAAAGAAACAGTATGTGCCAAATTCAAGTAGGAATCATTCGTAAATCATGGGATGAGAAGAGGTTCAGTGTCAGGTAGGCACAAATTAAATGTTCTTAGTCCTCAACGTCTTATCTTCAGTAACTTTTTGAAGGGCTTTCACAAGTGACCCCCATTGTTGGGTTTTGAAATAGCTTATGATTCTGAAGCCCAGGTGAGCCTCACACTACTTTGTTGCCACTAGGTCCCGCATGATTTCATTTTTTTTTTGTATTTTTTCTTTGAAATAAGATCTCCCTGTAGCCCCAGCTGGCCTGGAACTTGCTACATAGACTAGTCTGGCCTAGATCTCACAGAGATCCACCTGCAGACTGATTTTTCTCCTCTGGATGCTTTTACAGTATCTTCTGATACCAGGAGAGCTAATCTTCAGGGAGGAGGCTTCTATTCCAAATCCTGTGTCTAAAGTGTGGCCTCTCTGGAGCAATAGGGTCTTAACCTTCCAGTTCTGGGAAACAATCAAGGGCTGTGGCAATAGCCTGTATGATTTTGGGAGTATCTTGAACTATCTTGACCAGCAATATAAAGGGAGGTTTCTTCTGCCTAGCACTGATTTTTTTTTATATAGCCTTCAACTATACACTTGCACTCATTTATTTGCTGTTTGTGTATTTTTCAGTAGGACTTTGACTAATCCATTTCTCTCTGGTTTTTCATACCATATAAGCATTATTTATCTCTCCTCTGACTCCCTCTGTATAACTCTCTCTACTCTCTCCCAAGGTAAAGTACCTTCCATTTTCCCCATTTCCTTTTGATAACATCTGTCTTCTACTATCCTACTCTCTCAAGCTCATTCTTTGTCTTTACTCCCCTGCCATGATCCTTTTTCATTTTCTTGACTCTTGTAATTACATCAGAATATATAATTACATCCAATATTTGGAATTAAGATGCACAAATAAGAGAGAACATATGCCACTTATTTTTCTGATTCTGTTACTAAGTATAGTATTTTCTAACTCACTCCATTTACGTACAAATTTCATGAATTCTTTTTTAACCACTGAATGGAATTCTGGTGTGTAAATGTACCACATTTCCTTTATGCAATCATCAATTGAAGAGCATTTAGGTTATTTCCATTTCTTAGCTATTGCAAAAAGAACAGCAAGAAACATAGTTGAGTCTGTGATTGGATGTGACTTTGTCAGTTCCTGAGATGTCCTTAAACTTTTCTTATTGTGTAGGTGTAAATTACTAGGCATCCTTTTATTTTCTTATTTTATTGTATTAGTTTTTAACTGTCTATTTAATATACATATAATTTCAACCACATGTATTGTGCTTCGATCAAATGTACCACCCAGTCCTTTGTCCCAAATTCTTCCCTTCTCCCCCATCACATTTTCCAATTAAATTCTTGTGCCATTTTTTAAACCTACTAAATCTAGTGAGTGTTATCTGTATATGTATCAGTGTGGGACCATCTACTTTATTATAGATAGCATTTCAGGATCTAGAACCCTGAAGAAAACTATCCCTCCCTCCTCCAGCAGACATCAATGCTAATAACTTCTAAGTTAGGAGTAGAATTTCATCAGCCCCTCCCCATTAACCCATCCATGTTAGGATTTTGGATGACTTTATTTGTCTTGTGTAAGTAGTCACAGACACCATGACTTCATGTGTACAATGGCCCTGTCATGTCCAGCAAATTCCTTTTTTCTGTTATCTCCAATTCTTCTGGCTCTTATAGTATTTCTCACTATTCCATGAAGATCACTGAGTTTTATGAGTAGTAGGTATGATATAGATGTTCTATTTATAGCTTACCACTCCATAGTCTATTACTCTCTACATTTAGATGAGTAGTGAGTCTCTTTGTCAATCACTATCTACTGCAAAAAGAAGATTCTCTCATGAAGGTTGAAAGATATACTAATCTACAGATATAAGAATTTAGGGAACAATTGAATAATATTTCCATTTAACATAATAGTATTATGTTTTCCAATAGGGTCACTTACCCATCCCCAAGGTTTTGGACTTTTTAATGGTACCACGTATGAGTTCTGATTCTGGAGAAAGTGTTAAATTTGATCAGATAGTTGTTGGTGTGGTGGTTTGAAGGAGAATGCACCACATAGGTACACATTCACATTCAGCCCCATAGGTTCCAAGTATTTGAACACTTGTTCAGTGGCTCTGTTTGGGAAAGGTCATGGAATCTCCAAGTTGTGTGGCCTTTCTAGATGAAGTTTATATCTGGGAAAGGGCTTTGAGAGGCCATGTTTTCTGTCTTAACTCTCTGCAAGTGTTCAAATATATATGTTCTCAGTTTCTTTAAAGATGCCTCTGCAAATATGCCTCCTTGCCATGATGAACTCCTTTCCTTCTGGAACCATAAATCAACTTTTTTTCTATAAGTAAAATGGGGAGAAAGAGGGTACCCTAGGGGGTTCTTAGTCTGATTTATTTAAAAAAATTAATAATAGACCCAAGCAGAAGCTTTTACAGTTTTATTGGACTCTTAAAGAAAAATCCTCAGGGAAGGCAAGCTGTTCAGCTGCCTTGAGGAGGTGAATGGTGGGAAGAATGAAAGGAAATCGTGAAGCAATGCAGATTTAGAGCCTACATGGAGGTCAGACACATGACAGACTCACAGCCACATTGCTGGGCAAAGGAAGCTTTACAGAAAAAGTGAAGAAATACAAGATGCTAGGGGCAGCTCAAAACTTTAAAGAAAGCATGTTTAGTAAGAAAAGCATGAAGAAGAAAAGGTGAAACGATGCTTCCCTGAAGGGTTCAGGAAAGAGGACAGACTTATGGAGACCTACATGACTCTGGCTGGTCTGGAAGTTCTGCAGAGATCTGCAGCTAGTTCCAGGCAGGAAATATTCACTACCTCATTAACACAACGGGTATTCTGTCCATTTATTTAGCATAACTTTAGATGAAACTGCCTTCCTGGGTGTGGCTCTATCACCAGGTAATTGACCAGTGGGACTGAAAAATTGGGTCCTCCAACAGATAGATGACATTTTTTATAGTTTGGACCTGTTAGGGTCCGTGACTCGGTGGGTCTCTTCAGGAGAACAAATGCATGAGTATGGAGATGCAAAAATCAAGCAGAGTTTTATTAGGCCAGCTAGCTGGGGCCGACCGTCCTTCCAAGACACACAGGTCTGGTTGGAGCAATCAACCCCGAGGCAACTTCAGGTAGAGATTATATATGCTCCCACAACTGTTACACAAAAGCCCATGCTTATACAACCAATAGTTTCAAAGCAAGCATTTCACAAACCAATAACTTCAA